GAAGAGTTATTTGACAGTTGGTTAGTTAGTGGGAAGGGGAAGGGAGACTTTATAAATAGTGTGTGTTATGTACAAGGGGACTATTCATTTTTGTATTCATTTAGGTATAGACTGGATATTTGTTCCAATGGAGGGAGAGAGGCTTCCTTGGTGTGATTCTTTGTACATTGTTTCATTCATACATCAATACACATTGTTTTGTGTCTTTTCGTGTGTGCTTGAGAGGAGGAGTGTTGATCGGCTTCTTGACTAAAGAAGCCTAACACAGGATTATCAGGTCTTACTAGGAGTACTTGAGCCATATTCCCAGCCTGCGTAGAATGTCTTAAGTTATACAACACACTTAGATCTAGACATCCAAAACATGAAGTTTGAAGCATTGAATAGGCACTGAATTCTATATTATTACAAATAGACTAACCCGAACTCAATCTCAAAAGCTACCTCAAGAGGGAAGGAATGGATGGCCAAGACGTACGAGTATGCCAACCATATTCCATAACTGATACAAGATATCTTAACAATAATGTCTCTTCACACTCTCCCATGCTATAGTCCTTCGGAGCCAAAGCATCAATAATATTTACAAGAATGGGAGCAACAATAGTGAGACTTCTAACTAATCCCATGAAAGAAGATCGGATACCATACCACCATGTCAAGAACCAACTCTGCCAAAAGCTTAAGTTGTTAGGTAAAAACTCATGAATGGTTACATATGTAATATACCTAAATACTACAATAAAACAAAACAATGTTTAATTGTTTATTCCTAAGAGTTAAAGATATTGTTTCCTAGTCTTTTTCCTAAGAAAATTGGCACACCCGAATGTCTTAAGGTGAAGAAGATTGTTTCAAGTAGTAAAGTTATATATCAAGTAGTAAAGTTATATCTGAAGGTTAATATAGCATTGAAACTTGAAAGTTCAGTCAATAACTTCATAAATCAAACCCAACCAAAGAGATACAAGCCAACAACTCCAGAGTCCATAGAAATGTAAATTTCAAATTTCAATAACCATCATGTTGTTAATACTCTACAAACTCATCATCATATCAAAGTTAAGAAAATTAAATACCTCCTCCAGGACAGCTTTAACTTGACGGAGCTTTTCAGCATGCTCGACTTCAGCCTCACTATCACTTTCTCGATCTGGTCTACATAGTATATAAAGCTATAATTAATTTAAAACCTTGCTTAACACAAATAGCAAATATACACTGATTTGGAAACCCATGAAATTACCAGCCAACAACAATGGTAAAATGTGCAAATAGTAAACATTGGAACAAAGAAAATTACAAATTTATTCTAGTTCAATCAAAAGAAATTCGGAGAATAAAACACACTTTTCCACACCAACCACACTTCCAAAATTTGATTAAACTTACATATCAAATTATTAAAATTGAGTAGCATGTGATGCAAATCTGCTACAAATATTGAAGTGTGTGCATAGTGTAATTACCTGGTACGAGGAACTAGCATGCGTGTGGCATCTAACAGATCTTGAAGTTGAACAGCACTTTTAAGTTTTGTCTGCAAACAAAGGACCATCAATCAAGAAAATGAGCAAAACAAAATCCAGTGACTGAATTAAAAGTTAGTAAATATTGCATTGGCACCAGAAATTCATATCACCTCAGCTCTAGGTCGACCTCCATTGTATTTCAACATTAGGTTCAGCAGTTTTTCCTCAGTAACTTTTAGCTTCACCTTCTGTTTGGGAGTTCTATCACCACTGCAAAATAAAGTTGTAAGTAGCAAAGAACAAGATGATTAACCAATTTAAGTTACAGAAAGGGGAAAAAACATACTGACGAATAACAGCAATCACACATCTTAGTTCTTCAGATTGGCCAAAAGTGCCAATAATACCACTACCCTGACGAGTGAGTCCCTCAGAAGGTTGGACTGGTTCATTTACTTTCCATGGTAAAGTTGGTGGAATTGCCGAAGAAAGATGAGGTGCTTTTGCATCTAGGAACATCTTCCGCAGCACACAAGCAGTATCATCATAATACCTTCAGAAGTTGCAAATGAGATATGGTGAAAATTTCAACAATAAAATAAATGTCAAGGGAAACAAGAAATGCGACATGAAATTTAAAATATGAAGAAATATTTCTTAAACAATTAGTAAAATTTGTCATAGATGAGTAAATTTTCTTGTTTATATATTCTGTAGTAAAAAAGATTCCTTCAAATTTCTAATCACTATTAATTCATTAACACAAACAAGATTAGTAAAAATGCATTTTGGGTACAGGTGAAGAGGTACTAATTAGAAAAACATGTTATGGGATGGGATCAGGTGATATAATTAAAAAATTCAGCATACTATGCAGAACGCAAATTTGTAATCATCAAAGAAAGTCACAAGTTACCATTTATCAGAATATCTTTCAATTTGCAAACAGCAGGGATTAGTTTTTGTCATGTAAGCTTGTGTTACAAATAGAAGACAAAATAGACAACTCATAAATTTCATAAAAAACAGAGTGGTAGATAAAATTTTCTGATTGCAGTCACTTGAAGAGTGAACAAATACGATGTACTAAGAACCATCTACCAAAGCCAAAATAATAAAATCACAAAATATTACTTGTGTGAGTTTTTAACAAAGCTCCATCCGTTCACGTCACAAACATAGGAACGTCCCTCACATCTCAAGAGATCAAACCCACAAACCTGCAAGCAACAAGAGTGAACTATAGTAGGAGAATAAGAGGAGCAGACTCTAAATTATTTATTTTCCCCAGCAAGACAAACCATTTTTAAAACCTCATCATCAATAAGTGTCATGCATATGAAGCTGAACGCATCAAATGTGTAAACTTCAACTAGCAGCCCCTTATCAAGGCAATCAAGACAGGGAATTCAAATGCCTTGAGCCAATAGTTCCAAAATACCATTTTCCTCGCTCTACATATGCCTTAATACTAGGATGCCTTAATACTAGAAAACAAAATAGAAAAAGCTAGTTTCTAGTAGAATAAATTTACCGTATAAATTACTACTCAGGCATAACATTTGCAGTAAATACAAAATACTAATTACAAAACCCCTAAGCTGCTAGCTGCTAAGTGTCCATAGGATAGACAAATAATAACTATTTGAACATTCTTATTATTATAACCCTTTTAACATCAAAGAAAGCAAGTTACAGCCCAAGGCTTTTCGGTTTTTACAACTATAATTAGGAACTAAACGTCTGTTTTCCCTTATAACCAGAAAGATACTCTAAAGGTACTAAAGGTAAGAAACACACTAAGGAGACAGTTCCTCAGCCAACAAAAGCCACCTTGCCTCAGCACCTTGGTACCCCTGCTATTACACAACCCCTTATCAAAATAGTATTAGCCACATAATCCCAAGACATAAAGTTAAATGAAGTACAAAAATAAACAATTATTTTCTTTTAGGGGTAAAGGTATTTCAAATTAAATAAAGATAAAACAAAATCATTTACAAGATATTTAATGATAGAACTTGTTAAGGTGGTTAGTTGTCCAAAAACGGATTTACATACTTCTTAAGTTACCAGTCAAAATTCTATAATAAGGAAAATAAACTACAAAAAGAAAGACTATGCCATAATGCATCTCAAGCACATGTGTACAGGGGACAAAAGAAACGGAAATGCAACTATTGGCAGGATTCAATAGCAATTCTAACTATGAAAACCCAAACTTCAAAATTTGGATAGATGCAACAACTCTAGAATTACTAATCAGTTCAGTTTAATGCAAATTAATCCATCTATGCAAACTAAGAGCCAGATAGCCGGTTTTAAAAGATTTTCAGATAACAGTCACTCAAAATAAGCCATAGCAAAAAAAAAAACGAATCATCTTCAAATGACTTGCAGTTTTGTGGTTGCCACATTCTTAAACATACCGCTTGCCTGAAAGCAATGCAAACTTCTCTTGCCATTTCCTTCTCAGCAGGAGTCAGTAGGACAGGATACCTAACCTGCCAAATGAAATTGTAGATATTTTTCAATAAGAAAAATCCAATTATTGTTGCACACCAACCAGCTAACCCATCCTGCTTTTGAATGTTAAAAATTTGTTTCTTCTCAAATCCATCCAAAATCTACAACTACAAGCATTGAATGTTCATGCAATTAAAAAAGGATTAACTAAAACCAACAAAAAGCAAACAATTTAAGCAAACAAAAAGAGACTCTTAGCTACTGTTTAGGAAAACTCTGATGTAAGGTAGTGGTGCAATGAACAATAATATGCAAGGGCAGGCATTAGCAGAAAAGACCTGTGACAGAACACCCTACAAACAATACTCCAATCTACCAACTCTACAACACGATTTATACAAGTGACTACTTAAAATATCCACAAGCATTAAGCAAATTAAAAATCATATTATCTCAACTATTAAACTTAATTTAGATTTAGAGGCAAATTGTGTTATTTAATATTATAATTTCACTCAGTTATTTAAGTAGTTTTTCCATATTCTACATTAGTGACTGAGGAATATTATTTAGGCAGTGCTGGAGGTAAAAAAAACGGTGGTGCAGCAGAAGTGTAATAAAAATGGTTGTCTAAGGGTAGGGACACAATTGATGTGAATAGTAAATGAACCCTTTTCCATTAAGTTCCGAGAATGAAAGAAGACGCCTAGGTTACACGAATATTTTAGCCAAAACATGGGATTGTTATTGCATTCCTAGGAATATAATAAACTACTTGCAAATTTCCAAAGGTTGATTTCAAATATGAAAATGATTAGATATTTTCTAGGAATAATAAAATATACCGTGAACAAACCCCCAAAGTCTCTTCCACTTTTAGTTTAAAAAANGACCAAGTTTCACAATTCCAACCTTGAGGACAAGGTTGTTCTACAGCAAGGTGTAATAATAAGATATAAGGTAATAGGATATAATGGGTTTAGGATAGAAGGAAGAGGAAGTGAAAGGGTTGTTAAGAGGGAAGAGTTATTTGACAGTTGGTTAGTTAGTGGGAAGGGGAAGGGAGACTTTATAAATAGTGTGTGTTATGTACAAGGGGACTATTCATTTTTGTATTCATTTAGGTATAGACTGGATATTTGTTCCAATGGAGGGAGAGAGGCTTCCTTGGTGTGATTCTTTGTACATTGTTTCATTCATACATCAATACACATTGTTTTGTGTCTTTTCGTGTGTGCTTGAGAGGAGGAGTGTTGATCGGCTTCTTGACTAAAGAAGCCTAACACAGGATTATCAGGTCTTACTAGGAGTACTTGAGCCATATTCCCAGCCTGCGTAGAATGTCTTAAGTTATACAACACACTTAGATCTAGACATCCAAAACATGAAGTTTGAAGCATTGAATAGGCACTGAATTCTATATTATTACAAATAGACTAACCCGAACTCAATCTCAAAAGCTACCTCAAGAGGGAAGGAATGGTTGGCCAAGACGTACGAGTATGCCAACCATATTCCTTAACTGATACCAGATATCTTAACAATAATGTCTCTTCACACTCTCCCATGCTATAGTCCTTCGGAGCCAAAGCATCAATAATATTTACAAGAATGGGAGCAACAATAGTGAGACTTCTAACTAATCCCATGAAAGAAGATCGGATACCATACCACCATGTCAAGAACCAACTCTGCCAAAAGCTTAAGTTGTTAGGTAAAAACTCATGAATGGTTACATATGTAATATACCTAAATACTACAATAAAACAAAACAATGTTTAATTGTTTATTCCTAAGAGTTAAAGATATTGTTTCCTAGTCTTTTTCCTAAGAAAATTGGCACACCCGAATGTCTTAAGGTGAAGAAGATTGTTTCAAGTAGTAAAGTTATATATCAAGTAGTAAAGTTATATCTGAAGGTTAATATAGCATTGAAACTTGAAAGTTCAGTCAATAACTTCATAAATCAAACCCAACCAAAGAGATACAAGCCAACAACTCCAGAGTCCATAGAAATGTAAATTTCAAATTTCAATAACCATCATGTTGTTAATACTCTACAAACTCATCATCATATCAAAGTTAAGAAAATTAAATACCTCCTCCAGGACAGCTTTAACTTGACGGAGCTTTTCAGCATGCTCGACTTCAGCCTCACTATCACTTTCTCGATCTGGTCTACATAGTATATAAAGCTATAATTAATTTAAAACCTTGCTTAACACAAATAGCAAATATACACTGATTTGGAAACCCATGAAATTACCAGCCAACAACAATGGTAAAATGTGCAAATAGTAAACATTGGAACAAAGAAAATTACAAATTTATTCTAGTTCAATCAAAAGAAATTCGGAGAATAAAACACACTTTTCCACACCAACCACACTTCCAAAATTTGATTAAACTTACATATCAAATTATTAAAATTGAGTAGCATGTGATGCAAATCTGCTACAAATATTGAAGTGTGTGCATAGTGTAATTACCTGGTACGAGGAACTAGCATGCGTGTGGCATCTAACAGATCTTGAAGTTGAACAGCACTTTTAAGTTTTGTCTGCAAACAAAGGACCATCAATCAAGAAAATGAGCAAAACAAAATCCAGTGACTGAATTAAAAGTTAGTAAATATTGCATTGGCACCAGAAATTCATATCACCTCAGCTCTAGGTCGACCTCCATTGTATTTCAACATTAGGTTCAGCAGTTTTTCCTCAGTAACTTTTAGCTTCACCTTCTGTTTGGGAGTTCTATCACCACTGCAAAATAAAGTTGTAAGTAGCAAAGAACAAGATGATTAACCAATTTAAGTTACAGAAAGGGGAAAAAACATACTGACGAATAACAGCAATCACACATCTTAGTTCTTCAGATTGGCCAAAAGTGCCAATAATACCACTACCCTGACGAGTGAGTCCCTCAGAAGGTTGGACTGGTTCATTTACTTTCCATGGTAAAGTTGGTGGAATTGCCGAAGAAAGATGAGGTGCTTTTGCATCTAGGAACATCTTCCGCAGCACACAAGCAGTATCATCATAATACCTTCAGAAGTTGCAAATGAGATATGGTGAAAATTTCAACAATAAAATAAATGTCAAGGGAAACAAGAAATGCGACATGAAATTTAAAATATGAAGAAATATTTCTTAAACAATTAGTAAAATTTGTCATAGATGAGTAAATTTTCTTGTTTATATATTCTGTAGTAAAAAAGATTCCTTCAAATTTCTAATCACTATTAATTCATTAACACAAACAAGATTAGTAAAAGTGCATTTTGGGTACAGGTGAAGAGGTACTAATTGGAAAAACATGTTATGGGATGGGATCAGGTGATATAATTAAAAAATTCAGCATACTATGCAGAACGCAAATTTGTAATCATCAAAGAAAGTCACAAGTTACCATTTATCAGAATATCTTTCAATTTGCAAACAGCAGGGATTAGTTTTTGTCATGTAAGCTTGTGTTACAAATAGAAGACAAAATAGACAACTCATAAATTTCATAAAAAACAGAGTGGTAGATAAAATTTTCTGATTGCAGTCACTTGAAGAGTGAACAAATACGATGTACTAAGAACCATCTACCAAAGCCAAAATAATAAAATCACAAAATATTACTTGTGTGAGTTTTTAACAAAGCTCCATCCGTTCACGTCACAAACATAGGAACGTCCCTCACATCTCAAGAGATCAAACCCACAAACCTGCAAGCAACAAGAGTGAACTATAGTAGGAGAATAAGAGGAGCAGACTCTAAATTATTTATTTTCCCCAGCAAGACAAACCATTTTTAAAACCTCATCATCAATAAGTGTCATGCATATGAAGCTGAACGCATCAAATGTGTAAACTTCAACTAGCAGCCCCTTATCAAGGCAATCAAGACAGGGAATTCAAATGCCTTGAGCCAATAGTTCCAAAATACCATTTTCCTCGCTCTACATATGCCTTAATACTAGGATGCCTTAATACTAGAAAACAAAATAGAAAAAGCTAGTTTCTAGTAGAATAAATTTACCATATAAATTACTACTCAGGCATAACATTTGCAGTAAATACAAAATACTAATTACAAAACCCCTAAGCTGCTAGCTGCTAAGTGTCCATAGGATAGACAAATAATAACTATTTGAACATTCTTATTATTATAACCCTTTTAACATCAAAGAAAGCAAGTTACAGCCCAAGGCTTTTCGGTTTTTACAACTATAATTAGGAACTAAACATCTGTTTTCCCTTATAACCAGAAAGATACTCTAAAGGTACTAAAGGTAAGAAACACACTAAGGAGACAGTTCCTCAGCCAACAAAAGCCACCTTGCCTCAGCACCTTGGTACCCCTGCTATTACACAACCCCTTATCAAAATAGTATTAGCCACATAATCCCAAGACATAAAGTTAAATGAAGTACAAAAATAAACAATTATTTTCTTTTAGGGGTAAAGGTATTTCAAATTAAATAAAGATAAAACAAAATCATTTACAAGATATTTAATGATAGAACTTGTTAAGGTGGTTAGTTGTCCAAAAACGGATTTACATACTTCTTAAGTTACCAGTCAAAATTCTATAATAAGGAAAATAAACTACAAAAAGAAAGACTAAGCCATAATGCATCTCAAGCACATGTGTACAGGGGACAAAAGAAACGGAAATGCAACTATTGGCAGGATTCAATAGAAATTCTAACTATGAAAACCCAAACTTCAAAATTTGGATAGATGCAACAACTCTAGAATTACTAATCAGTTCAGTTTAATGCAAATTAATCCATCTATGCAAACTAAGAGCCAGATAGCCGGTTTTAAAAGATTTTCAGATAACAGTCACTCAAAATAAGCCATAGCAAAAAAAAAAACGAATCATCTTCAAATGACTTGCAGTTTTGTGGTTGCCACATTCTTAAACATACCGCTTGCCTGAAAGCAATGCAAACTTCTCTTGCCATTTCCTTCTCAGCAGGAGTCAGTAGGACAGGATACCTAACCTGCCAAATGAAATTGTAGATATTTTTCAATAAGAAAAATCCAATTATTGTTGCACACCAACCAGCTAACCCATCCTGCTTTTGAATGTTAAAAATTTGTTTCTTCTCAAATCCATCCAAAATCTACAACTACAAGCATTGAATGTTCATGCAATTAAAAAAGGATTAACTAAAACCAACAAAAGCAAACAATTTAAGCAAACAAAAAGAGACTCTTAGCTACTGTTTAGGAAAACTCTGATGTAAGGTAGTGGTGCAATGAACAATAATATGCAAGGGCAGGCATTAGCAGAAAAGACCTGTGACAGAACACCCTACAAACAATACTCCAATCTACCAACTCTACAACACGATTTATACAAGTGACTACTTAAAATATCCACAAGCATTAAGCAAATTAAAAATCATATTATCTCAACTATTAAACTTAATTTAGATTTAGAGGCAAATTGTGTTATTTAATATTATAATTTCACTCAGTTATTTAAGTAGTTTTTCCATATTCTACATTAGTGACTGAGGAATATTATTTAGGCAGTGCTGGAGGTAAAAAAAACGGTGGTGCAGCAGAAGTGTAATAAAAATGGTTGTCTAAGGGTAGGGACACAATTGATGTGAATAGTAAATGAACCCTTTTCCATTAAGTTCCGAGAATGAAAGAAGACGCCTAGGTTACACGAATATTTTAGCCAAAACATGGGATTGTTATTGCATTCCTAGGAATATAATAAACTACTTGCAAATTTCCAAAGGTTGATTTCAAATATGAAAATGATTAGATATTTTCTAGGAATAATAAAATATACCGTGAACAAACCCCCAAAGTCTCTTCCACTTTTAGTTTAAAAAATTAAAAATATAACAAATTTCATTCAAATTTTATGAGGAGTTCCTAGAGTTCGTAGTAGAATAGAATCTATAATTTAGTTACTTTGTACGTTTGACAACAGCAGCTTTTGACATGAAAATAACATTGGTTATAGAATATATAATTTAGTTACTTGATACTTATTTGTTATAGAAGTTTACTTTACAATGCACACACACAAATTCACAGAAGCAATTATGAAAAGGACACTAACTGATGTTATCAAAGTTTTGTCTCAAAAAAAAATGAAATTTTCTGTTGACCGACAATAAAGAATACTCTATTACAATAAGAATACCTGAAAGGATTCCTTTTTAAGTAACAAAATAGACACTAAATATTAGAAAAACAATGCATAATTGATGTAAAATACAAGAATAAATGGAACAAGTGTAGACTGTAAGAACCGAAACTGATATATGGGAGAAGGGCCTATAATTTTTGACAGGCTTCTTACTTCCTTCCCATCAGGATTTCTCATCACAACACCGTCAACAACGGGAGACTTCCTTGCCTCAGCATGAGCATATTCAGGACCAACTGTATATACCTACAATCATGTCAAAATGTTGAAAATATTTTTTTTTGTGAAAAACTATGTAGAAACATTACATATGTCATGCAGAAACAATAAAACAAACACAAGCAACGTGAATTTCGCAGCCAAACCTTCACATCTGTCCCTCCAGTTGGCATGAACTCCTCATAAATATAGGAACCTTCACGCCTCACTCTTCTTACCTCTGGATGGAACTCACTAGATCTGTTGCCCACCTAAGATCATATAAAACCCAAAGCAGACTAAACTACTTGACTATATTTAATCATAAAACCAAAAGACAGAAATGATAACATCAATTATCCAGAAGTTCAATGTTGCTTTTAGGATATGGCAAACTGATTTCACAGAAGGAATACAGATGAAATGGAATGTAAGTCATTTTTTAATACAATAATAGTCTTCTAGCATTGATAGAATGAATTAATTTCAAAATGGAATTGGAATTGATCTAATGATATCTATAATAAATAATAATAATAATAATAATAATAATAATAATAATGGTACAACAACAACCTCATATGCCACTTAAATATATATTATTGACTATCGAGCATCATTCTAGTTTATTTCTATTTTACAACCTGTTTATAAAAAAAGCCACTGAAAAAATAACAAATATTTTATTAGTGATGGATGCAGTGTTAATCATCATTTGCTCTGGATGTACAATATACAAATTAAACTCCACTCATGTTGCCCATGTAAATACTTTAGCACTAGCATAGCATCCACCACTGCTTAAGTGGTTAAGGCAAGTTAAATTTAACAAGAATAATAACTACAGTTTTATTAAACTACTCAGGGTATAATGGGGAAAAGACAAATTAAATCACATTTCACGGATGGAGCGTGGAATCCATGTAAGTTTGGGACATTCATCGGTTTTATTTTTGGGTGAAAGAAAGACAAAGAACATGATCAAATAAGTACTCTCTTTTAAGACTTACTATGTGCTCTAAAATGTTAACTGCAATACAATACACCTGCCTCATTTGGGTGAGTGATATGTCTACTTAAAGCTTACCTTCCTAAATAACTCCTTCATTCCTCCACCAGCGGAACTGGGATAGTATATCATTATACTATGGTTATCACCTTCACAAAAATAAAATAAAATAGAATAAGGGTTATACCACATCCATGAAAATATATGTCTAGTTAGTTATTTATCAAGTAAACAAGAAAATAAATACAGAGGTACTCATGAGAACTTAAATCTTCGTTACTTTTTACAAAAAACAAAAAAGAAACATTAGTAATTATGCAACCAATACAGCATTCTGCATATAATCAAATAACAATAACATAAGAGCATCTATGAGCGCTTAATTTCTATCACTTAATTATATGGCACAAAAGTACGTTTGATAACTTAACTCTGCAATAACCACAAACTGCAGAAGTTTCTCGGTAGATAAGTACCAGTATAGTATTTAGAGCTATACCACAGCATGTAATGCAATGGCTTTCCAAATAATCATATATCCTTCTCATGCTAAAGCAACCCAATGCAATGTCCATAAATCAGTTTTATACCTGGCAGACTATTGATCACACAACACATTGCTTTCAACCATGACAAGAACGATATGTGGAATTGCAAAACAGTGTCAGTCTTAAATACAAGAAATAGTCTCACCATCAATAGGTTTCTCCACAAATGGCTTCCAGAAACGCATACCATGAACCTCAACAAAATCTTCTTCCTCAATGAAGTAATCCAACTGTTGGTATGGCACTTCTCTATTTACAAGGGCATATCTTGGAACAGGAATTTCAAACTTTTCAAGACGCTTGAACACCAAAATTGAACATTATTAAAACCATTACATGTGAGAGGAAATAACAAAAAGTATTTGGCTGAAATAGACCAAACATTAGCACACCAACCACAGAGAACAATACAATAATTTTTGTCCAAATTCTATAAGTCCAAAGCATATGGGTCTGTGGCCTCCCCCCACATGCACAAAAAAAAAGAAACACACTTCAAACTAATTGCAACTAGAATGTCTTGGCTAGGTAAAACTTTTCACTAAAAGTAACACAGATTTGCGATCAACAGGAGCTAGTCATTCCCCAAAATATGTCAAAGGTAGGTTTGACCAACATTGGTGACCAACTTCCTAAATGCACATTGCACAAGTCCATTTTACCTTGTGACTTCAAATGTTGCAAGGATAGGATTCCTATGTTGGATTGGTGGAAAAGGATGGAATGGAGGGAAATAAAATATAATGGCATTATGTTCCATCGTTTAGATCATTGAAATGTGGGTGGAATATGATGGAGACTAGTAGAATTCATTTCACTTTAGTTTCTCATTTCTCCCCACCCCCAATTTGAGAGGAATGTTATAAAATGGGAATTTTATTCTATCATAACATAAACAATGGAATTGAGTTTTTTTTCTGTTATGATATTATCCATTCAATTCCATTTTATCCCATCCGTTTTGCAATCCAAACATAGCAAGTCAAAAAGGCTCAAATAAAATTTAACAAACAACCCAATATTATGTTTGTATCTCTAACATCTGGTTCCTTGCATCCTTTTAAAAAGAATCATTACACAAAATAAATGAACAGAAGAGTACATGTCCTAGTACATTTAAGCTTAATATGAGAACCAGATACCACAGCAATCAGCTTGCAGCCAGATAATATATTACAAAGTCAATAAGGATTCAACAAAATGAAATTTTCTTCTTAAATGGAAATCAGAAATTAGCTTAATGTAAAGAAAGTGAAATGACATGAAATATGAAAACAAAGCAATTAGAATTTGACCAAAAGAAAGAAAAAGACCCAACATTCTTTTACCTCGTATACTTTTCTTCGATCATGAAGAAGGTGTTGCGGCTCCAGTTCATTTACTAGAAAGGGTCTAGATCACAATGCACATGTTTTAGATCAATAAGCATTCTCATCCAATAACTTAAAGTAAAGAAAACTATCACAAAATAACTAAAAAACAGAACACAATTAAAACAAACACACAAGGTGAAGAACTTATTCTTATGCAAGTACATATTTAAGTGAACATCACCATTGTCCTGGGGGAAGGGGGAATATAGAACAATGTTATTGAGTGATTTCCAAATTGTACCAATGCCACACATTTTGCTTTATTTATGCCAGAATATATTAACTTATGTGAAGAGGTTAACTTGTTATAATAGATTAACTCATCCTCTGTATTACCTATGTAAAACCTAGATGTAAATCATCATATCTTTCTTTCACTTTTTCTACTGATGTAAGAATCCATTTAAATGAATGAATCAGCTAACAATTTTTAAAAGCTCTTAGACATTTTTTTTCATATTTTCCAATCTCAAGTTAGTATCAAAGTGGGTAGATAGATCCCATATGTTCATAATTGTGTGGTGTGTTCACCACTGACCATCACCACTGACCATCACCACTGATAGCAATGCACCACCGTCTTTAAGTTGTTGGGTTTGACTCATGAAACAAACTCCTTGTTGTTATCTGCCACTGCCAATCAACATGGTTTTCACTATTAAAGCATTGAATCTAGACCTCTCCTTGGGACAAAGAACCCAACCAATCCCAAAAAGCTAAATCCTCCTTGTGTGACACCACATGCAACATTAGTAGACAACAAACCTAGGCATGTGCTCCCACATGCCACCGTCCAGCTACCAGAACGACTTGATGCCACCTCCGTGTTGTCAGCCTCTACTATTCCTGCTCTAACCAGTTTTCTTCATCTCGCACTAGTTCATGCACAACCCTTGTGATAACCTTGTGGGGTCCTCGTTTTTTACCATTGTCTTCTTTTTTCCTTATTTGAAATAGCGACTTCTGAACATGTCCACTTTTTTCTAGTTCTCCCATAATTACTTTAGAGAAACTGGTGACAAAAATTACTTGTCTTGCTTTGCATTAATTGGGCATTGGTTTCTTGGCCAAGGCTTCCATAATCACTAGGAAGAAGACACTAAATAAGGTTGAACACTGGAAGATAGATCTTTCAGTTGTGTCCTATTATGGCAATTTGTGCAACCCAATATATTGAGAACTCGTAGGGCATTTAAAACTTATAACTCCTTTTGAAAGGCTAGGAGTATTTTTCAAAATGATATTTAGCACCTTTATGGTTCTACTCATAAACTAACATCTCTGAAATAAATAGATCAAGACATGGCCGCCTTCGTTGTCAAAGACCAATAAGATGATGAGAAATTGAAATTTGAGGTTGATTCCTTGGAAGTGATTAAGAGGTTGGAAAGTTATACATAGTTATGATTCTTCGTGCCATGCACCAGATTTTGATCAGGTATGGGACCAAATTGTGATTGGTGAAGAAATCTCATCAATATATGGCTCACAACACGACTACTTCAAACTCTCACACTCATTGCCAAAATTCTACATGATTATGTCGAATCATATGTCATGGCGTCTACTAGCAAAAGGGGTGGTTACGGAAATAGAGGACAAAGTGGTCGCAATTCTTTTACTGGAACATACTCAAGAAAATTGTTTCTCTTTACATGGCTTTCCTAATAAGATTTTCAATGTCTCCAAGTCTGAAAATGTTGATTGTAAGTTTTCTTATGAAGAATATCCTGCACGTAAACTTACACACTATCTAGAGAGTTTTCAGATGAAGAATATCAAGACAAGCATGTAAACATACTCAAGAAAATTATTTCTTCTTCCAGATTTCTGTCTTTTCATAATAAGATAAAAAAATCAGTTTAGAAAATCAATGTTTCTAGAAGTGGTGACGTGAAAGAACACTTTTCTTATAGTTTGTTTACCTTTTAAGTCTCCATGACATTCTACAATCCACCTGCACTCATAAACCTCAGAAAAATGGTATAGCAAAATAAATAAACACTTTGTTGAAACTACTCGTACCTTGTTGCTTTAGTGCTAATGTAATAGATCATCATTAGATGGATTTTATCATTACTACTTGTTTCCTCATACATAGAACATCATCCTTCTCTCTCAAAATCAAATTCCATATAGTGTCTTATTTCCAACGAACCTTTATTTCATATCTCCCTGTGTTTGGGTTTGTGGGTTTTGTTCATAATACATTTCCCAAGTTAGATAAACTCTTTACAAGAAATATCAAGTGTGTTTTCTTAAGATATTCTCATCTCTAAAAAGGATATCATTGTTATTCTCCAAAATTATAAAGTACTACATGTATGTCAATATCACCATTTTTAGGAGGCCTTACATATTTCCTTCTTCACTTCACAATGTTAGTTTTGTACAACAAGTCTTGCATGTTGCATTTTTTGAATCATTGTCATTGTCATTCCTGATTTATGACATTCGAAATCATACAAATTATCAATGTCTCTCTCCTCCATCAAGTCCACCTGAGTTTTCATCACTAATAACTTATAAACCCAAAAATGCAAGAGATTTCTTTGATGTTTACTTAGTCAATCATCTTCATCCATTCCTTCACCATCATAAACCCATACTAACCCTCCCAATAATGAAGATCATGTTTGACCCATAGCTCTTGGAGCAAGTCAATATTGGTTGTCTCCTTTTTTTCTCCTTTATCTCATGAGTGTATTATTCCTAAAATTGTACAAGAAGAACTTGGGATGACAACAAACCGTGAGTTAATGAAATGGATAGTCCAATGGATCCAAATTAGAAGTTAATGGCATAGTAGAGAGAATCGTTCTCCCACCTAGGAATATATAGAAGTCTTATTGGGAAACTTATTTATCTTACTATTACTAAATCTAAATTGTCTTTTGCAAGTGGAATGATTAGTCAATTTCTGCAAGCTCCTCATCTTGATAAGAGTGTTGTCATTAGCATCCTAGATACCTTAAAAAGGAGGTTGCAGGAAAAGCATTGCTCTACAAAAGGGAAATACTCATATAGTTGGGTATTGCGATGATGATTGGGCCGAATCCCATAAGGTTTGGTGTTCCACATTCAGATATTATGTTTTAATTAGAGGCAACATTACTTACTTGGAAAAGCAAGAAATAAATGTGATTGCTTGATCTAGTGCCAAAGCTAAAAGTAGGGCAATGGCATCACCTACTTGTGGATGGTGTGGATAAAACAATTCTTTCAAGAGCTTAAATTTATTTTGTGAGACATAATAAATAAGCATGTACTATGACAACCAGGCAGCTCCAACTAACATACAATATTTACATACAAAATTATAACTAAGTTCATACTCTAATAACTTAGAGCAAGGAAACGAGAACTGTACATAATTTCAATCAACATTATAGGCCTATGTACACACAAAAACAAAATCCAGAACAAAAAAACAAAAAAAAAAAAGACAAAATCAACTATAACGAATGAGAATTAGATTAACGAGCTACTCCACACAAAATCCCTAGTCTTAAAATGCGCATTGCTCACTCCAAAAGATTGTGCATTAATATTAAAACACTCTAAAAGATTATGCATTGATATTAAAACTGAAGTTACAAGATATATATCCATAACTTTATGCCATTCTCCACTCCACTCCCCCTACTGTCTTGGTCCTAATTTTTATTCCTTTACTTTCCACCCTTGCCACAAAGACAAGCTTGTTACAGCCTAAATCTCCATTATGTCGTTTACATTATGCCCACCATCTTCAGTCCTTAGTCCACCTATTAGGCTACTATCGTCCCTGTTCCTCCTATCATACACTTCATAAATTGCAAGACATATAAAATTCACACTTCTCATAACAAACCACACAAGAGAGGGGGGTAAATGGAAAGGAACAATGGGCCAGATATAAAATGCAGCAAAAAGAGTTAAGCACGCTAAACAAAAGTATAGGACTTTACTTTATGCAAAACCAAAGCATGAATAAATTTATCTCATAACAAATGTGCATCCAATGAGGAACAACTGAAAAACAGGGACATTCTCTGCAACTAGCAGAAAATAGCATAAACTGTACAGTGTTATAATTTATAAAATAGTAGCCTCCTTATTCTTGCCAAAACCGTGAAAACTTATCATCAGCATGGTTTGTTGTACCAAAATCCCTTTAAAACTCATATCAAATTTGTTAGATTGATTTGCTTTAGAATGTGGATGTCAAGAAGCTAGCATATAATTATTCTCATATTACATCAGCTTTTCCCATCCTAGGTGTAATTGACCTAGACTCCAATAATATTTCCAGAACATCTTATAATAGCACCATCCAATATTTGATAATAATAGACTACTGCGGTTTTGATTATATATATAATTTATGTGACATACAGGTCAAATATAGTCAGTAAATAAACATGCTTACTTTCTTAAAGCAGAATATGCTTCAGCTTTTTCGAGAGGATATCCAGAGGAATGAAAAGCAATCAAACAATCGCACACTGGCCAGCTGAAATAATAGCAAAATATATAAATTTAGTATGCCAACAAACACTTAGAATGTGAACAACAAGAAATATTTGAGCTATAACTTAAAAGTCTCATATGCAAATATTATTTATGGAACATACTAGAAAATAATAGGCAAAAAACAGTTTGATTCCTTGTTTGGATGTATTGACATAGCAAAACAATGCGGGTGAGGGAATAAAGTGTTCTCTAGGAACAAAAATGTTAAAAGCACACTCTCTAACATACTTTTTTGGACAGATTCTCTCTCATTGGTTGAAATTTATTAGAAATGACAAAAAGAGGTGTGGGACTCACCTTTACTTAATGATCATTTCTCCAGATTTTGTAGTTTTCAATATATTTCATGCAGTGAAAGAGAGTGTATCCAAAAGAGCATGTCAAAGAATATGCTCGTGTTGTCAAATATACATATGCAAATCTCTCTACTTCGATAAGGTAAATATCCAGAACAAAGAAAGTATTCTCAACATCATTATCATTTCCTTATTTCCCGTGCAACCAGACATACAGTTAAAGACTCTTTCCAATCAGCTAAAAAGGCTACTACCGATGGCAAATTAAAAAACCAGAAAAAAAAATCCTTAAATATGGAATTTGAACTTCTGCTCACGTGACATTTAGATAATTCTTTTTCTTAAAACAACCAAAACTCCATGCCAATGTGAAGTAAAATGTCCTGAAACTATTAACTAAGTCTCGTCTACTGATAGAGTTTCAGAACGGTATATCATATCTTTTTGATCCACTGGTCAATGAAAAGAACTAAAAACAAAAGTTGTTGTAAAACAGTATGTAGGAACTCAATCAAACAGATACTAGCTTTTAAAAAATGGGCAATAAATAGACCAATATACAGTTCTTCAAAATGTAGAATCAAACAAGTGCCAACTAATATGCACTATACCTCTCAATTGGTTCCTCAAGAATGACCTTGTCCCCAAAATATACGACCTGAATATATTACAACGTAAAGGTGAGAGTGGACCATCTCTGTTACTATACAACAAAAATTTAATAGACAAATATGAAAAATTTAATAGTTGTGTTTTTCATAGGTAGATAGAGCAATTTATATAATATTATTTTTCTCTCTTTTAACTCTTTCCATCATATCAATTACATCTCTCATGC